AGTCAGTTAAGAGAAGTTAGAATAGAAATTGGAAACATTTTTATTCGATTTTAACTCTTTTTCATGACTTTGACTCCTTGTAATTTTTAGGGATATGACGAATGCTTCATTGTACGTATCGTTTTTTTTACTAGAAAGCTATGCGTTGGGTAGCCTCACACCACAGTCATTATATTTATAGAACCGAAGGATTATTTCATTGCATTCTGGTACAAAACTTCCTCCTCTTAACAGTTAGTTGGACAGCCTTGAATCATCAGCAATCTAGTTTATCTTACATCAGCAATCTTATTGCACGAGGTTTCATCTGAGATGTTTTTACAATTTTCAAACTTCGTTTTAAACATAAGTATTTAATTTAAAATGGATTCTTGTCCATGCCTTCCATTTTGATTGGATGTCGTTGAATTCAGTCCACATTTTGGGTGGTTCAGTCCTGTCCAGTTCTCTTCCTTGCAGCGCGTTCGTCACATGTCACAAAGACCAGTCTGTGCTCAAGTGATGATTAAGAGGGGGGCATTGGGTATCACTGTGTGCGTCAATAAACAGGAAATTAATGATAAAGAAATTTCACCTCTCTATCGGACACCGCTGTAAGGCAGACACCTCTCTAAGGCTGACACGGCTGTCTTGCTGTCCCAGCTGAATTTCACTTGTTTCTCTGTACGTGTGCTCTCTTTAATGAGAACACCTCTCTGAAGAAGATAGCTAGCGCTGCTGCTGAATGTGCCCTTCTAAGACACCAATGATTTCCATATTCCGACGTTTCGTGTTGTTTCTCTCTCCCTCTTTTGTTTTAAAGTCCCTCTTTTTTTTTAATTCTGAATATCAAGATAGCTGAAATTTACAACGTGCCAATAAATATCAGTTGCACTTTTGTACCGCGCCATGGATGGATTTACTCTCATAACAACATAAACCATAACTGAGATAAACCAAGCTGAAAGACTTAAATTGCGCTTCTAAAAAAACTTTAAAATATTTATCCAGATCTAATTTTAAAACCTGCTCATTTATGGCGTCCAGATCTTTAATGATGACTTGACAATACGTGTTTATCCACGGTGTGAAACTGAGAAGTTACAAAAAAAAAAACACAAACTGTGCTCCCTTCGTTCAGTAATGAATGTTTTCGGATCTCTCATGGTTTCTGGTAAACCAGGCTAATAGAACTCGACAAAAATCGTCTCGATATAATGGGTACTCGATATGCCATGAAGACGTGAATCGCTCAGAAAACGAGACACGTTTGAGAAACATTCGGAAAAACGAGACTCGTTTCGAATAACGAGTCTTTTTCCGAACGAGTCTCGTTTTGAAAGTCTCGTTGAAAACGAGACACGTTAGGAAAACGAGACAC